GTGTGTGTGTGTGTGTGTGTGTGTGTGTGTGTGTGTGTGTGTGTGTGCGCGTGCGCAGCGACCTGATATTCAACCAGCTGTATGCTCAGCTGGTGGAGAACATGGTTGCTAAGGGCGTCTTTCTGGAGTCACTGGAGTCGTACATTGTTGCAGACCGTCTTGGTCACCTCACCACGCCCATCATGAGGGACCTCCTGGCCCATTACCATGGCAATGGTATGATGGACAGCCTGGAGAGATGCATTGTCCATCTTGATGTGACCAGCCTGGACATACAGCAGGTGTGTGTGTTGATGTACAGCAAGGACTGTATGGAGTGTAAATAATGCCAACCACGGCGATCAGCAGCTATCAGCCAAAATCAGTGAGCTAAAATATCAGAGTAATTACTCTCCACATTTCCACTGGTTTCATAATCAGTAAAAGTCTTCTGTCTGTTCGAAGGTGGTTCAAGTGTGTTGGGAGAACCAACTCTATGACGCAATGATCTACGTTTTCAACAGCGGCATGAATGACTACATTACACCTATGGAGGTAGGAGCGCCACCGAAAGGTTGTTTCTTTATGTTAGAGTTGATGCACATCTTTTGCTAAATTGAGTGTCTGAATCAACTGATGAGTTTAATTTCAGTTGGACTAAAATGGAAATATGTTTCCAAAGTACAAACCACTGATCTTGTAACCCTCCCCTCTCTGAGACAAGCTGTTTGGGGCTCTTAGTTTAGGTTTGGGTTTCCTCATTTCCTACAAAAAGATTTGAGATGCAAAGGTTGCTTATAGAAACTTAAAAATGTAATGAGATGAAAGCCTATGGGGTTTAATTCTTGTTTCCACTTTTGTCTTGACATAACAAACATTTTTTCTTAAATTATGCTTTCATTGCCTCAATAAAGGTTTTATGACATCACTGTAAATTTCAGTCTTAATGTTCCCAAATCAGCTTTCTACACTAGAAAGCTTCACAACAGATAAATCCAATGAATAACATGGTTGAACTTTCACCCTTTTGGACTCTGTACCATTTGCATCCCTTAGGTTGTCCAGTGGTTGGGGTCATCAAATGCACTTAACTCCGCCCTAAATGGCTATTACTCATCAAATTGTAATATACACTGATCTGCAGGCCTGATGTATTATTAGTGCAAGGAGTCACTGAGCTTGAAATGGTGTTGAAACAGAATACTTTGGTAAATGTAGCCAAACACACTGTGAATGTCTTATTAAGAGTACAGTCAGCAGCTCCCTATCTGCTTTTCAATTGCTCATACAAAATATTCACACTGCTTTTAGTCAACAGGAACAGTTTAACAGGAACTGTACATCAGGTCCAGAACAATATTTATAGTAATTGTTAACTCCATGTTTTTATTTCAGAAACTCTTTGCAGTGATTGGCCCACAACTTAGAGCGGGGAGGAGCCTAAAAGGTAAGGCAGGAAACCACACAGCCTAGAGTTCATAGCACCAACTATTTTAAGCAACTCTATAGTATTTTAAGTTTAAAAAAAGCACATTAAATCCTTTAACTCTGCTCTTTTTCTTCTGGGACAGATGAGGAAGTGGTGATGGGAAACAAACTTCTGGTGTACATAAGGTAAGTTCACACAGATATTAGTCTATCCCTCAGTTTATTAGTCTGTGGCATACTGTACATTGAAGATTAAAGATTAAACAATCCCTTATTAGTCCTGTAGTGGAGAAATTTGTTCTCTGCATTTGACCCATCCCTAGTATATAGGGGCTGCCCAGTTTCATTTCTTCCTAGAGCTGCTACTACATGATCACTGCCACAGAGTAGCCAAATTACTCAACTTCCATCAGCAGAGTTGGTGCATCTGCACAATTTCAAAAAACCTCAGGACAAATGGCTTTCCTCTTATAGCTTTCCTAATATTGCGAATGAAGGCAGTTGAAAGTCGTGTCTGCTGTTTATGGTTTTTATGGAGAAGAGAGGTGTGACAGGTAGTCAACGCGTAACATTTTACCATAAAATATTGGAAGTGAATCAGGCTTTATATACCTGACAAGATTGTTATAAATTTCTTGAAATACATATAGTTTATCATACAACATACTTGATACTTGTTAAGGGGGAGGAAGAAATGGAAAAATAACATCGATTTTGATGCAAATACACCAAATTGGCCCAAAATGGTGATTGTCGAAAAATCAAGTAAACTTGTATTTCAAACTTTTAGTTGAGTTGTTCCCATTCTCATACTTTATACATGTATATGGGTGCTCTATACATTCAAAAGTGCACCTGAGTTAAAATTATTTTGTGTGTTTTTGTATAGCTGCTGTCTTGCAGGAAGGGCATATCCTCTTGGAGATATCCCTGAAGATCTTGTGGTTCAAGTCAAGTACCAGGTATGTACAGACAAAAATTAATTGTTCTACAGAGTTCAGTGTGGAAGTGCGACAGGATTGAGGCTTTTTATTAATTCTTTCTTAGCCCTAATGAGTGATTAAATATGGTTAAAACAGTGCTGTATGTCAATGAGTATTTTCGCCTCTGCCAACCCCCCATCACTCAGTGCTCTGATTCGATACACTGGATCAGTATTTGTGCCAAAAGTTTATTTTCAAACAAATCTAGTATCGGCAGGAAGTGACTGAATTACAATAAATCCTGGTTCCTAGTTATTGTTGAAGTTGTAACGGTACAATTCAATTTTACACACACACTTAGCTCAATTTGTCACACATGTTAAGCGATGCTGGGGGCATGTGTTTGGAGGGTGGTGATCAGGAATAACACTACTTTTGTGTCATCTGAAGAATGACAGGGTTTATTATATGCTAGTGGGCTAATGCTGTGAGTGTGTCTCTGTGTGTGTGTGTCTGTTTTTTGTGTCAGGTGTTTGAGTTCCTTATCCGTCTCCATTCAGCCGACTCGTTGGAGGAGGAGGAGGAGGTTTTCCCATTTATTCGTACACTTCTCCACTTTGATACCCGGGAGTTCCTCAATGTCCTCGCCATGGTGAGATTTCTTCATATCATTTTAACTCTTGTCATGCTGATAAATGTTTGTTTAGCATATTGAAAGACTGGGTGACTGCATCTTGAACACCTTATAGTATGCCATTCACCTGAAGCAGAAAAAAGATGATTTTGAATTATATAACTTTGTATATAGGGTGCGGTGTAGTCTGTGCTGCTTTTGTTTCTCGTCACGGCCAACGACAATTTTGAATTAAAGCGCCTGTACGCTACCTGCTCAGTACCAAACAGTAGACACAGCTAGTGCCTAGCTGATGAATAAAACGCTTCATTTAGCAGTTGGTAGAGACCAAAAACGGAGCTAAAAGAGAGTGAATATTTAATCTCAGATCTCAGAAACATGACTCCTAATTAATGATAATGTTGATGTGATTGGCCCACTACCACAGAAGCTACAACCCAAACAGCCTGTCTGCACATGGCTCTAAACATTGAGATGTCTGAGCCGGCTGCTAGCAGCTAACCATGCTAACAGCCTGAATAGGGCGCTGACATATCTAACAGTTGTAACCTGGGGGGAACCGTAGAATGGGCGTTACTCTTCTCTACTCTTGGACAGCGTTATCAGTGCTAACTGCTGTATAAGGACGCCGTACTGGTATTGGCATCGTTTTTAAACGATACCCAGTCCTAACTAACATGCATTTAAAGCAACCGGCCCTGCTATTTATACAAAGCATAGAGAAACTTAATTCTCTGCTCCGGTAGACATTACTACACTATTAATTTACATTGCAAATAGTTGTTTGCTGCTATATTAATGAATATCTTACAGTGAATCTTTAAACTCAGTTTTCCCCAGCATGCCAGAAGCTTTGCATTCTGCTGGAGTAACTTCCTTTTCCAGTATCTCTGAGTTGGAACCAAGTTTATTCCATAAGCTAGTAGTAGTGTAGACACTAGTGCCATCTAATATATCTTCACTTTTTTGTATTGATTTGACATGATCTAGGATTCCAAATCAGCAGCTGAATTGTTGTTTTGATTTTTTTTTAAAGTGGGTGGCATATATAATCAAAAAAGCTACATGTTGGTATGTTCAATCAGTGTGAAAAAACCTTTAGCTGTTTCTTCACTAACTTCTTTTAATGGTGTGTCTCATCTCTATATGTTGTTGTAGAAAACATTTTTTCGGTTTCCGTATGTGCTTAGTGTGTTCCATGGTTGGGACTGTCAATAAAGAATCTTGAATATTAATTTTCAGGTTGTCAATCAATCAGCTATCGGTGTTGGAAGCTCTGGGATTGGTGGGCCTAAGCTCCAAAGAGGCGGGACTCCCATGGCTTTATTTCTGGGATTCACCTGTCATTTTCACATATCTTGAATTGTTCGATTTAAAAATGGACTTCACTCAGTCCAGGTTGCAGTATTAGTATTGTTTTGGGAGATTCTACCAGACCACTTACAGGTTGTGTTTTCGTTTTCTTCTTAGAAAACTGAACTGTCACCTTTGAAATGTGAGATTAATTTTTGTAGGTTTTTTTCTGTCATTTAAGATTTGGTTCTTACTTCCTTCTAGACATTTGAAGACTTTAAGAATGATAAGCAGGCCCTCGAGTACCAGCAGAGGATAGTGGACATCTTACTTCAGGTAAAATCCTTCCATTGTTTCACATGGTTGTTGATAGTGAAGACAGCATGGAGCATAAAGAGTGGCTCGGTAATCTTTTTCAGAAACAAAACCATTTACAGCACAAACCTTGGTTGAGTATTAAAGTTGTTTTTTTCTTTATAATACACAAAATTCCTGTATTTTTTTAAACCCAACAACACACTAGGACAGCTTTTAGCTCATTTGAAGGGCTCCATGTCAAACCAGTAGCTGATCTTTTCTCTGTTATCGAAGACAAAAATGACTGATGGTTTAAGATACGTGCTATTAATGTCATTCACAACTGTAATAGTTTTTGATTATAAATATGTCTTTCTGATTACCTAGGTGATGGTGGACAACCCAGACTTTACTCCATCACAGGTGGGCGGGCTCTTTACCTTTTTGGCTCGCCAGTTGGCCAAACCAGACAACACGCTTTTTGTGAACAGGAAGCTCTTTGATCAGGTAACCTATCAGATCCCCCAAATACCTCCAGTGTTTCATTATAGATTAAATTATTGTGATACTTTCACTCAGATCTGGCTGCTTGTTTAGACAGTGCAGGAAAATCTACTGTATGGGTGCACATGTAACAGGAAAATAATTAAATGAATACATGAAAATGAATTAAAAAAACAATGCCGTGATATGTTCAGATAGTTGAGGCAAAGGGTCTTCTTACTGTTCAAATCAAACACAAGCAGAAAGAACAGTTAGTGGAGGCTCACAGAGATCTTTCTGCAATCACAACATTTTTCACAGCAGCTGGGGTGCTTGATGGTACAGGCACTGGGAGAACTCTGTAGCCAGGCAAATTGTTAGCTACTAGCAGGGTCACTCCCGCTTCGCCCACCTTCAGAACTGGCTGGCATCAATCAATCATTTATTCATTAGTTTTCCAAATGGTATCAAACAACGTGCCGCACATTATGTTCTCTGCAATAACAATTGTTCATAGTGTAATAATAATTCACAGTAGGTATTTTTTATGATCAAACTCTACCTGCTAAATCCATGCAGTATAATTGTATTTTTTCTCAGTATTGTAATAAATCAGATCAATTAAACAAGATGGCCTCCAAATGCTGAGACAGTCAGTTGTCATTCTGTGCTAAATACCACCTCCTAACTGATCTTGCCCCTCGAGATTAATAACTGCAACCCTCAGAGTTTAGACAGACGCCTAAACATGTGGGTGGAAATCTGTCTGTGGCCATTTCATCTGCCTACGTTTCCAATGTGATGGGGGAAAGAACGCAACATATTTACAAGAAATGTAAATGTTTTACATTTTGAAAAAAAATATTCTAATTCAGATTTTGAGTATTGGCCCTTTGAAATTCAATGCTCTTTTTCCAGTCTCAGTGGTTTACATCTTTTTAAGTAATGTGTCTTAACTAATAAAGCAAATCAAACATACAAACTGGCATATTTGTCATGGTTAAAGATTCTCTTCGTTTTCTGCTGAGAATGATGAGAATGATGATTGGCTTGTCATGGCTAGTTGGGTCACACCGGTTCAGGTGGACATTACTGATAACGCTAGTTCAAAATGGAGTCAGTGCACCAGAAGTGTTGCATTTCAGTTTTGTATTTTAATGCATCAAAATAAACCCATTATATATGAAGCTTGTGTAACAATAAACAAAAAGTGAATAGATGACATGTAGACTAGTTCAAAGACATCTGCACAGATACAGAGGTGATTTCAACAACTCTTTAAACTTATCAATTTACCAATTTATCCTTTCTCTCTTTATCAAATGTTTAAATGATTTAATCCTTATTTTAAGACAACCTTTTTTACATAGTATATGATATAAAATAGATTTCCATTGATATTGTTTAATATAGCAATTAATTGTATTCACACCATGACTATTAAATCGTATTTTTGGGTCTCTCAAACAAACCTTTATGCTTATCACAAAGTTACCAACTCAAAACAGAAAGTATTTATCAGAACAGCCAACCTCAGGTTCATCTTTGCTCTTGTCTTCCCAGGTTCTGGAGTTCCTGTGTTGCCCAGACGATGACTCGAGACACACTGAGAGGCAGCAGGTTAGCCGTGTCTCTCTCTCCCTCTCTCTCTCTCTGTCTCTCTTTCTCTCGCTGTCTCAGTCTCTCTTTCTCTCTCTCTCCCTCTGTCTCTTTCTTTTTCTCTCTGTCTCTCTCTCTTTCTCTCTGCCCTTCTCTCTTTCTCTCTCTCTGTCTCTGCCTGCCAAGCACACCTCTTCGTTCAAGTCTGCAGTCTATTTGTGATTTTAGACGATGTCATCATGTCATGTCACTTGTCATTTTTCTGACCTGTTTGTAGGTTTTGCTGGAGCTACTGCAGGTCGGGGGTGTGGTCCAGTTTAATGAAGGAAGGTTGTTGGCTCTGGCAGAGAAGGCCAAGTTGTGAGTATCTGACCATCTTCTACCTTTGCATAGTTTTCATGCATTTTTTTAATAGTCCAATATTTTGAGGGTTGTGATCTACATACTTGGTCCAACTTATGCAAACTGTAGCTCCCACATTCCCTGGATGGTGCTTCACAAAAGTGAAAACACCTGCTGAGAAAAATATCTCTGTGTTTAGTCTCTACATTCCACTTTCTTTACCAGCTAGTCTCTAACTCTCTCTGCCTGGTGTTTGATGCAGGTAGTGAACAGTAGGTCTATCAGAATTTTCTGGTTGAAAAGAGCTGTCTGTTGATGTTGGAGACAGAGTTGATGAGAGTGCTGAGACTGAAACACACATTTGGTTGTGTTTTGCCATAAAACCAAAACGGGCTGAAAAGCTCCATGGAGATGAAGTGAAGTGCAGAGTTGGTCATAATGTCCTCTGTTTATCACTATGAGAGACACCTTTTACATTACACATAGTTATTTGAACCATAGTTAATATCAAATATTGATGATTAGTGCAGTTTGAACATCACTATATTTATATGTAACTTATTAGTCATAATTCACTATTATCATCATTATTATTGTTATTATTACATTTTGTGGCCTACATGTCTTTGTGTCTCCCTGTCTTGCCCTCCAGCTACCAAATCTGTGAATTTCTTTATGAGAAGAAACATTTATATGACAGGATCATTGACTGCTACCTGCGAGACCCCCTCAGAAAGGTAAAATAGTAATGCATTTCAGATTTATCTATACTATACATGTATTTGGTTGATATTTGTTGAATTTCAATGTGTGCGTTCTTTGCATGTATACAATCAACGGACCCATCGGCTATCAGTCTTTTCTGCGTCGCTGGTTGTTTACGGTCTGATTAACAACTTGAGATGTGAGACTGGAGTTGGAGTTCAGGGACGATGTGCATGACAAGGTTGTTTCACAAGGAGCCAGTTTACAAGCTCATTGAAAACCCATAAAAATCGAACTCACTGTCAGATGATAGATGGTGGATTCCCAGATTGCATTTCAGCCAATGCCTTCTGCCTCTTTTACCCTCCACACGCACTGTTTGCCTGCATTCAACCAAAGCCTGCTCAAAGGTGATTGGTCAATACTACTCAAACTCAAACAGAAACCCGTTGCCTACAGATTCTGCATATGAATGCAATATCTGTTTGTAGAGATTAGCATGTATGTTGATTTCTGTGTGTGTATGTGTGTGTTTTTTGTTAGTGAGTTATGATTGGCGGGCTTACCAAAAAAAGAGGCGGACTGCTGGTGAAAACTCCATCTCAGCTGTAATAGGTAGCCTGGCTGTGTGGGGCTGACTGTTTTTCTTTACCTTTGAGTATCGAGGAATGTAGAAGACCTTTGTCAATATTTGAGTTCTGTTGACTATTGTTATGTAATTGCGGAATCAAATAAAGCATTTAAAGTGTGTGTGTGTGTGTGTGTGTGTGTGTGTGTTTCAGGGGGAGATCTTCAGCTACATCCACAACCTGCTGGCCATGCCCGGCTACAGCCCTGAGGAGAAACAAATGGTCAGGGACAAAGTACTTCAACACATAAAGGTCAGAGCAAACTCGCATAGACATATAAATACCAGAATTCCTTCATTTCTGGACAAGTCACTGTGGTAGCCGGCTAAGCACTGTAGGAAGACGGTCCTTTTCCACAGTCGTGTCCTCCAGCTCTTCCTGAGGGATCCAGAGGAACCCTGAGGATAGATGGGATATGTAGTCAAGCATGTGTCTGTAAGTGATTGTGTTTGCATTTTCATACGAACCCTCCAAAATATGTTCACAGGAGCTGGTGACCCTTGACCCCAGCAAGTCGGCTGACCTAGTGGTGTTTCACTTTGCTAAAGAGGTGCAACAAATCATCTGTGAGCTTCAGGTAAGGTCCAAATAAATGGTAATGTTATTATATCTATTTTATCTGGTAAAATTAGTACTGACAGTCTGGCTACATGCATATACTACCAACTACAAACTAGTACAGAAATACAAACGGCACATTTCTGCTCTAAAATTGCTGAAGATGATTTTTTACTTTAACTGGAATTAATTTAATGATTGTCACAAAGGTCTATAAACCTTGACAAAATAGGAAAGGGAAGCTCTTAGGTACAAAAAGTGTGAAATGAAATTAGCTGGATGCTGTCTGAGGAAGAGCATCTAGCTTGAAATGTTTGAGATAGTGATAGAGATTGACTTCTCCATGAGTGTATTACTAGATGGAGTTGTGAGAAACGGACAGGAGTACCAGCACTGGAGCTAAAGAATGTACTGCGGACGGGGGCAGCAGCCAAATGTATTGTAGACACCTAAAAGAATCAATATAGGTTCATGTGTACGCTATATTTAGAATATTTCCACAGCTTTATCTTACTGTCTGACAGCCTTTTCTGACAGAGAACTTAACTGAAAGGGAAACTTATCTTTGCTCTCTTCAAAGCCACTCGTACTGTAAAACAGTGTAGATGAGTTTCCCTTTCAGTTCAGTTCCCCTTCAGAAAATGTTCTAAATATGCACACCATTACAATTAATGCAGGAGAATTTGCACACCCACCTTTGTAGGCTGTAATAGTCCCAACTAAACACTGTGACAGCTTGGTGATATGGGCTACCCACTGAAATAATTCTCTCTCTGGAATCAATTTAATTAATTTCAACTCAATTCAAAGGGGCTTTATTGGTATGGAAAACATATGTTAACGTTACCAAAGCAATTGTGAAATAAAGACAAAATGTGTGTAACTTATAATGTATAAATACAAATAAGGTGATAAAGACATATACAAATATATATATATACAGATAAGCACAGATCTCTCTGTCTCTGTCTCTGTCTCTCTTGCTCTCTCTAGGATGACCAGCTACTTTTCCAGTTCCTCAGCTGCCTCCTGGAGCCACGGTACAGTGATAACTCTACGACTTCACTCCTCAATTCTTCTAAATTTGCCTCCACTCCTCCCTCCTTTTCTCCTCCTTTTCTTCCTTCTCACTTCTTGTCTACTCCGTTATTCAGGGAAGGCCATCATTCAGGGACCATCCTACCTCAGGAACGGGACCTCCATGAGCTTCTGCTGGACTTACTGTGCCGTTTTGGCCCCAATCAGCTCCTGAGCTTCCTCCAGACCTCCCAGCACTATAGACTGGAGGAGGCCATACAAGTAGAATCTTCTATACTTTGATTATGTTCATTGCATGTGTTTTTGTACAAGAGTTAAAAACCATGAGTCCATGTTGTAGGAACAGCAGGAGTAGTAGTTTACCACGTGACAGGAATGATGCAGTGATCACACTAAACCAAGATGTGAACATGGCAATCATTACGCCTGCTAAACATAAGCAAGTTAGCATTTAGCTCAAAACACAGCTGTGAGCAGCCTCACAGAGCTGCTGGCTTGGCTGTTTTGATTTGAAGTTCAGCATTGGTTTTCACCGTCGCAAAACTACGGTAGATGGATGTATTAGTGATCAGGAAGTATTGTACCTTGTATTCTCCACGGTATCTGTTTACATTCTTTCATTCACTTTGAGTTAGTGACAGTGGGAAGGTCTGCCTTGTATCACTAGACTATTCTGTAGTACAGGTAAAGAACAGGGGACACAGCCACTGATATGCTGTGGAACCAGCACATAAATAAAAAGATCAAGAGATTCTTAGTTACAGGTAGAACGTGACCAAAAACTGGACTAAAAAATGGATTACAATTTGGTAGAAAATGCACTCTTTGATTGTCACGCTTGATGTGTGTTTACATTCCGTATTAGCAGGAGTTTCAATACTCTTATCATGTATTATAGTACATTTGATTTTATCTTTAGCTCCTGAAGTCAAGTACTCTACCAGTTTGACATGCAGTAAGTCCAAGAAACCTTAACGAGATAGTGTGGATTAATTGAAGTGGGGTTGAAAGAGGTTCTTCTCCATAGTCTGTGTCGATGACTCTCAGCACACCCCCAGTTTGGAGTAACAGGCGCAAAGCAATGCAGTGCTGTGGACATCAAACAACAAGCAGCAGCTAATTGTATTTTAGACACCTAAAAGAAAGGCTCACCTAAAAAATAATCTGTCACTATATTTAGAATATTTTCCAAATGGGAGCTGAACTGAAAGTGAAACTTCTCTGTTTTTGTCAATGGAGTAATTTGGCTTTAAAGAGAGCAAAGTTCCCCATCAGAAAGGGCTGTCTGACGGCAAGATAAAGCAGTGAAAATATTCTAAATATAGGATATAGATTATTTTAGGTTAGTGCACATAAGCATGTCCCACTGGCTAGCTTACAGCTGTCACTCATCTGCATCATACTGCATTAGGTAATTATTTTATTATGTACTGTGGTACTGTGTACTGTGGTTATACACTATCAGATGGGACAAGCTTACCTACACCTGTGAGTCTGAACGAATATGTCTCTCTGTCTTTCTGCCCGTGTCTTTCTCTCTAGATAACACAGAAGTACCACCGCAACGAGGCTACAGCCTATCTGCTGGAGAAGAAAGGAGATGTTCATGGAGCTTTTACTGTCTTGTTAGAGGTAGCTACAAAACACCCACAGAGTAATCATTTACTAGATTAATTAATGACCTAATAATTATTAATTTACCAATTTGACACATGAATACATGGACTCTAAAGTAGTAGTCACTATTATATGTCTACATATATCAGTGTGCATATGGTGTTGTGGAGTTGGAGTATAGTTCCAGTAGCACAAACTGTATGTAAACACAGCAAGTACATGTACTTACTTTCCACCGCTGATGTTTTATGTATGTTATTGTCACTTTCACTGTCATTGACAGACATTGAAGGAAAAACTAAGTCTCCTCACTGCTGAGAGTGACAGAGGAGCTGATGGAGGAGAAGGAAGACAGGATGAAGAGGAGAGAGATAGTGAATCAAAACTGACGGGAGTGAAGGATTCGCTGAATGACATCATTGTCTTGTGTCATCGAAACTCTGACAGCCTTTACCAGCAACAAAGAGAGGTAGTAGTGTCAGTGAGTGTGGTGGTTGACGTGTGTGTGTGGGGGGGTTGTGTTGACAATGTCTCCTCATTTATTACTTTTTTTCCTCACAGGCTCTGTGGTTTCCACTTCTGGAGACCATGATGGCTTCTCAAAAACTAGTTAAGGGGCTCAATGATGAACACACATTTGAGGGTAAACACACACACACATACTGTATGAACAAGGATGTCTCAAGTTCTTTGGCTCTGATCTGGACCTAAGTCCTTCACCGTTTTTGGTGTCATTAAAACTACTGACAGAGCTTTGCGTTTACAGTAGCTCTGAAATGCAATACACCACCTCACTTTGTTTTTCACTGCCACATTCAAATCAAATCACAACAGAGAAAACCATTAATTCAGTTATTAAATACAAAAAAGCTAAATTGTTTTCCTTTTATCATAATCAAGTACGACACAGTAAATGCATACACAAAGAGTAAACATATTACAATGTATATTGTATTCAGGTGATTTCTTTGTTTGACAGAAGTGAAAGAGAAATGAGTTTCTGGAAACAATTATTTCCTTATGATCTTATATGATACCATTGTGCTTGTGTAGCCATTGAGTACCTAAAACAGTAATGACAGTGATGCTGATAATCATGCTAATCAGGTTTGTGTATGTCTCAGTGCTGAAGGAGCTGACAATGAAGGTTCTCAACTGCATGAGCACCTTTATTTCTCTACCTGCCATCATCCAACGAATACTGAAGGTGTGTATGTGTGTTTTGTGTGGTGTTTCTTAGTCTTCCCTACTTAAAAGGGATTATTTTTTGAAATTTGTTTTATTGGTTTATTTGTTAGGGACAGTGCACATTAATAAAACATTCCTGTAAGTGTGCCAGAGTTAGCCAAGAGGCTATTTTTCATATGTAGTCCCTGGACAGATGTTACAAAGTCACCCTAAAAACAGAACATACGTTTAAAATGACAAAGTTATGCATTATTTACCCTTTACAAAGCATACAGAAACAATAAAAGAAGAGATAATATAAGTAGAAACATAATTTAGGACCCTTGTACTACATTGTCAAAGTACTATTAAGACAGGTAACACAGAGGCTCATAAAACACACACAAAGCAAATAAATGAGGGTTAATTATGTTAAATAGAAACATGGACGAAAGACAAGATTATGTTGCATTGTTAGACACTAAAACATACATGTCAGAAGCACAAAACTAAAGCATGCAGAGTATGTAAAATATATAAGTCAGTCTGACACAGCAAATCAACACTAAAAGACATGCATGCAGGTAGATTAGGATCAACTGGCAATTTCAAGACAGACAGACAGACAAGTGATGGACAGACAGGCCGAGGGAAGTTGAGCATGGACAGATTGAGGACAGTAAGGTGCAGTTACGTTCTAGTGCTGAAAGAGCTGGGCACTAATTAACCATTTCTTTAAATGAGCTTTAAATGAACTATATGTGTCCAGTTCTCTAATGGTCACTGGGATGGAGCTCCATTCTAGTGCAGCTTTTGCAGAAAATGCAGACTGACTGAAAGCACTTATCCTGAGTGGGATAATGCAATCCTCTCTTGCTGCACCTCTTGTCAGCCAATATGCAGTTGTTCTTTTGGTAACAAACTGTTTGAGCGGAGGTTAAGTCATACAGTATATAATCTTGAAACAGACATTCACATATTTAATCAGGTTTAACAAGTTCTATTTTATTAATATTGGGCAATGATGAGAAAGAACTGTTTGTTTTGTTATGACTGCAGTGGTTTTAGAGTAGTAGTGCTAGCCTGTGACCAGGTTGTTAAACAGTAAGTGATTTGCGAAACAACCATAGAGAGCATGTACTGTATATCTTAGCTGCGTCTGTTGACATGTAATCTTGTATGAACCTGAAATTTGAAAGATTAAATTTGACCCTGTCACCTGAGACTTGAAGGATAGGATAGAGGTTTCTAGGTTTGAACCCTAACAAGTGTTGAGTGTGTGTTACTTAACTATGAAGAGAAACCAAAGAGTTGTGATTTAATTAAAGGATGATATGTACTTTTATGCTGTATATTGTGTACTAGTGGCATGTGACGCTGTTTGCATTCGTGTGCCTGACAGGACCCAGTCTATGGGAAAGGAAAGCTGGCAGAGATCCAAGGCCTCATTCTGGGCATGCTGGACACTTTTAACTATGAACAGGTAAAGCGCTGTGTAAATAATATAATAATGATAAATAAACAACAGAGCAGCGCCTGAACCACAATTAAAATATTAAGGCTGTAAACTGTGCCAATCCCTCACGGATTGAAATGTTCTGTCAATATGCAAATCCTAAACAACAACTCCATCTCAGCTATTAATATTTTCAGATGCTATTTGTGGTTGACATGGAAAGTAATTCAGATTGGCCTTAAATAATGCTGTCTTTTCTGTTTAAGACTTTACTTGAAACAACCACCAGTCTTTTGAACCATGACCTCCACTGGTCCCTCGCTCACCTGCGCGCTGCTGTTACAAGAGGACTCCACCCACGACAAGACTACTGTAACATCTGCCTCCAGCAGTACAAGAGGAGGCAGGACTCAGCTGAGGAGATCATTGTGTTCAGGTAACACACACTGGAGGTGTTTAATGCCTCGGCAACAGTTTACAAAACGTAGCTCACAAGTTGATCATGACTCTCTGTCTGCATACATGTGGCTTCACGCCGTTCAGTGTCTGATGGGGGCTGTATAGTCAACATAACATGACAAACTGGGCAAAGCACATGTAACTTTGCCTCCCTGTTTCTCTCCACATGAGGTGGAAGACAAAAATCATGCAACTGTATGACCCTCGACCTGAAAGAACTCCTTAAGTTCTTGGGAACAAGACAAAAATCCCAGTACTTGACTGAACAAAGAAGTCTTCAACCAATGCTGGATTATTAGTATCTTGTGGAGGTTTCTTGCTTCATCCTTCTGATCCTTGGGCCTAGTAGGCCTTGAAGGTTGAGGACCAAACCATGCCAACCAAAGCATCTAACACTGAGGAATATGTCACCATGGCTCAAGTGCGTGAATTGTTGGACCAGCAAAAAGACTTCTACAGAACTTTGCTTGAACAACAGGAAAAAAGCTTCCAAATGTGAACAGATCATAGTTGATTCTTCAAACAGGAGGATTAATGATCTGTCGACACAGGCCTGTGATCTCAAGGTGAGTCTAGAAATGACTCAAAATAAAATGTCATGTAAAACACAATTTGCAAAAGGCAAGACAGACTATCCGGAGGGCCAGTCCACACGCCATAATATTGTTGTAGATGGCATTAAAGAGTCTGGAAAAGTAAATCTCACTGAATGTGAAGAAAATGTGAGAAAACTATTTTCAGATGATCATGTTGTAGTTTTTCACTGAATAGAGTTGGATAGGGCTCATAGGGCTGGGAAGCATATGGCATCTTCACAAAAGCCCCGACCCATTGTGGTCAGATTTCTACGGCTGAAGGACAAACTTTCTGTTCTAAATAAAGCTAACAATTTGAAGGGCTCAGATATCTTAAATCAATGAGGACTACCCTGAATCCATCCGCCAAAACAAGACAAGAACTACTCCCAGCATTGAAGGCAGCTGGAGAGAGAGGTGACATTGTCCACCCACCTTCCCAAAACCCCCAACAACAAAGAGGCCGACGCTAAGAGTCTGAATCCTTAGTCTTCAATATCAGGAATGTATTAAGTACTTTTGATTTTTTTTTTTTTTTTACCGTGCATCTCAATACATTATTCTTTACGTGCACTAATGTCTACAACAAATGTGACTTTGAAGGCCAGACCTTTAAGCTTTTTAATCCTTCTACCATTGACTCTTATCATTTAGATTTTTTTCATCGCTTGTTGTCTCTAACCTCTGTAGTTTTTATGATGAAATCCAGTTTAATGACTTATGTGTTTCTTTGCCTCCTAATATATTCTCTACTTTTCATCTGAATATAAGAAGTCTTTCTAGCAACTATGACAAATTCATTCATTATTTATTTTTACTCAATCATGATTTTTAAGTTATTAAAATAAGTTATTGCCTTATCAGAAACATGGCTCACTGAGGACTCTAGAGAAATCTTTAAAATACCAAAATACAATACAGTTCACTATGTAAGAGAGAATAGATCTGGAGGTGGAGTATCTCTGTTTATTCATGGTGACTATGAATTTAAAATTAGCGACGATCTTACTTTGAAGTCAGACAGGGATGAGGTGGAATCTGTTGGTTTGTTTTAGAGCTCTCTGGTTGAATTGTTGGTGCTATTTATCACCCACCTGACCATTGTTGGTGCTATTTATCGCCCACCTAACTCTGTCATCAAAGATTTGATTGAAAGTCTGTTCAGTTCTCTTGACCTGATAAACAATGAGGATAAACTTTGTTGCATTTTAGAACTTAGGTTCATTGATGACTAAATTACCTGTAGGTGTGAATGTGACTGTGAATATCTGTCTGTCTCTATGTGCCAGCCCTGGGATTGGCTCCTGCCCCCTGAATAAGATAAACAGTTACGGGTCGTGGAAAGGAATGAATATTTACAGGTGCTAAGGTGTGAATGTGTTTGTCTTTTCAGCTGTGGCCACCTGTACCACCACCAGTGCCTGCAGCAGAAGGACTCTGGGTGGGGTTTTACTTCAGAGCTGCAACAGCGGTGGAGCTGCTACAAGTGTTCCTCAAGCCAAGGAGGAAGGGGCGGGCCTTCCACCGAACCAAAAAGAGGCCGCGGTACATCCCTGGCACAGGTGTGTGTTTGTGCTTGCAAGAAAATAAAGATTTGGATAGACATGAGGGAATACATATTAGATTAAAGGATAAGTCTGTTATTTTACATTTAATTTGCTGCCATAAAATCCTGTGAAAAGATCCAAACCAACAATACTTTCTGACTTCCCTACCATTTCTGTCCCATTGGTTCCTACTGAAGACGTTAAGCTTAACAAACAATTCACATTTTGGCCATGTTTTCCTGCAGGTACAAAGCCAGCACTAGGGAAAATTAAATTTTGATTTTAATTTTCAGTAAACACTTGTGAGGACATTTTTTTTTTTTTTTGTTTTACTGGGAGCAGATTTGCAAACCTGTACTCGCCCTGCACCAGCCAATATCAACACAAATCCATCTGTAAGCTGCAATTATCTCTCAATCAATTCTGGACCCAACCACACCTGTTGATCGAAGACCTGACCTGACCTGTACTTAAATATAGGCTCAGAGATGCTGCTGTGCAGTGAAGGGAAACGTACAGGGAACTGACTATTGTCGGTGTGCAGAATAACCAGGGGAAATATATAATACATATGAATAAAAACCCACTGATAATGCAGGTTGCAAAGACAAAAACACTCCATGTTTTCAGTGGATTATGTTCACTTGATGACAGATGATCTCACTCGGACCTCACCAAAGTCTTGCTCACTTTACTCACAGCTGGCCCAGCTTTGACACCCATTAATTAATTGTTGAAGTCTTAAGACACTGGATTTAATGGTAACTGATCTTGTGCCTTTTTCTAAACACTAACAAGCAAATCTCAAAACTCCATTTTACATTAGTTTTTTTTTTTAAATAAAACTGTTTATTTATAGCTGTTTATTTATAATTATAATTTGTATTTATAAATTTAGACTGATATTTAGGAAATGGACTTTCCATTCCATTCTCCAAACCGCTTATCCTATTTAGGGTCGCGGGGCGCTGGAGCCGATCACAGCTGACATTGGGCGAAGGCAGGGTACACCCTGGACAGGTCGCCAGTTTATCGCAGGGAAATAGACTTGTTTATGTGTATTGGACTTTAAAGACATAAATGAGTGTTTTCAAATATGCAGAGGAGGAGAAGACCACAGAGTAGAAAGGTATTAATTTATTAGTTGTTTGCACAACTCTAACCAACTGATATTCCAGTAGCCGTCACAATAATATACATCAACTGCCCATTGATAGCATATTTGGGGCAATGCATATTAATATTTGGAATGTCCAAATCACAGCTCTTTCAGGTTGTTACTCCAGCGTCCCTCTATTTTACCCTCTGTCATGTTCCAACGGCGAGGTTCTCCAACAGCACCAGAACAGCTGTCATTATACACAACCATTACCCATGGCTGTGGCTATTTATAGCACCCACAACTCTTGTTCACTTACATAGCTATGAACCATCATTGCAGTGTCGTGCAATATCTCTGTCATAATTATTAATCAATGATTAATGTATAGAGCTTACTGTATATTGCAATATACTTTACAATGTGCCTCACAATTCAGGAAAAAAAAAAGATCGACTCTGAAATAATGGCTCAGATGTAGAAAGAAGATAAATTCATCATTCGTAGATATTTAAAAATGTAGTTTATAAATGAGCCTTCAGTTGTTTCACAGCTAAGGGAGCAGTGATGTAGGGGGCCGAGAGGATAAGGCTTCATCACCACACCTCTGATCTGTATCCACTTCTCCCAGCTCTATTGCATGTAGTGCTACATGCAGCTGGAGATGCACATGCAGTTTGCTTTCACAAGACTTTGGACCTCGTGTGATCATTGTGCCATTGAAGATAAGCCCCTAGTCACATAGTTAACCATTTTGCAAGCTTTCCTATGAGGTGGCTTGGAAGTTCGTTACATGAAGTGACCTCAGGCCACATCAGCTGTAAAATGCCTGTTGTAACATGTGTCAGCTGATTCGTTTCATACCAGTTGGTGTTTGCTTTTAATCTAAGCACAGTCTTCCAGTAGCTAACAATCTTGACGCAGCACTGTGCTCCTCTCTTGGTCTTAGACTCGTGTAACATCAGTGTCTCATGATGCAGGAGCAGAGGCTCACAGGAAGAAGGTAAGGTTTTATTCCACAAAGTATACAAATGACACCACAGTCAAGACAGCTGGTCCATCTTCGCCATCTTCCACAATACACAACATTCTTAACCCCAGTGAAAACAACTCCAGATCCTTCACAGTTGACAAATGCAGCTCTATTTTTTCTTTCTTCCAAACAAAAAATGACACCATCTACAGTAACCTGGACCTGCTGGAGATTATTATGTTTTGTTGTTTTCACTCAGGCTTTCTGTCTTACAACTTGAAAAGTTAACTACTGTTTATTACAACCTTATTTCCAGAAAGTGGAAATAATGGAAAAACCAGTTAAACATTTATACCATAGAATGCAATATAAAGTCCTAGGAAAATAGGATCCAAGTGGTAATAAAGTGGAATTCGCCTTTAAGATTCATTTAAAACATGCCCAGCCACAGTACATAGAGTTTGATAGCAGCATTCTAATCTGGTTATTGTCAGGTGGGTGAGTACAAGTCAAGGGAAAGAACCCAAATGCAAACAATCCAGGGCTGAAAAAGTGAAGCTACAAAAGCTTCATGGCGTGGATAGCGAGTCTAAATAATGGTAACTGAGAATTCCCTGGGTGACCAGCAATGGCAATACAGGCAGGAGCAGACTCCAGGGTGCAGGGTTCAGAAGACTGGAAAGCAAAGGGACAAAGCAACAATGACAATGTGGCAAAAAGCAAGTGGAAATGAGCTAGTATACATTCTGTGGGGGTAATTGAGAAATAAGGAGCAGGTGGATGTGGGAGTCAGGTGACTGAGACTGGTGGGTAGGTCAAAGGGCATCTGGTTGATAGTTGGAGCTTGAAAATGCAAGGGCCTGGAGGAGGTGGGTCTATGGCTGGAAGGAAGGACGGAGAGGCAGAGTATTTACTTAGAACCAAATATGAGCCCAATCAATTGATATTCACTACTGTAGTGTATTACTGATATTGTCCACCCTTTAAAAAACACCAAACTTGAGGCACAGGGAGACACTTTTGCATGTCCATCTCGTAATAAAACTTGTATTTCTGCTACTCTTATGCTGCATTGGTTAAATGTGATTGCACTATCTATGCCATGCGATTACAGCTTAATATTTATGCTTTGCCAATATTATTCTGGTTCTTTGCTGCGGCCCAGGTGTTTGTTGATGCAACGTTGGACCTTCAGCAGGAGCAGTCTTGGGATCAGCTACGGTGTTTATACCGTGGACCATCCAGGGTAGGGACTCTGTCTGTGACAGTTGAAGAACCACCTTGACGCATAATTAGCCACATAACAGATATCTTTAACAATTTTTTAGGTATATGATGTAGATGGTACACAGCACAGTCACATTTGAAGAGATAGTTATACTTTTTCTGCCATACCAGTGACTCATGACCCACATGTATGAAGGTAATATGTGGAATGGTAAATAGACTGTACTTGTTTAGCGCTTTTCTAGTCTTTCCGACCACTCAAAGCGCTTTCTACTACTACTTGTAATTATTCACACAAAGAGTGGTGATGAATACAATACGAATGAATGTATATGGTATATGAAATGTAATCAATATATACTGTATTAATGAAAGATTATACCTAATGTTGCAGATCAGCATGGAAACAAGGATAAGGTTACCGAATTGGATCTGCAGTCAGTCGGTTTCTCCAGCAGCAGGCAAAGTCTTCTTTCAGGATCTCAGGGACAGTTTTCCTTCGCAGAATATCAACAGCGGAGATAATGACCTTCATATCATTGGGATGTGTGGAGAAGATAGCTGACAACAGCCCTGTCAGCTCCCTGACAGATGTGTCAGTCAAAGTTACATTTTCAGTGCTTTGCCATTCTAACATGTTTGGCCATAAAGTCCCCAATCAGAATAGTGTCTGGCTTATCAGGCATGGAGTTCGCAATGTTTTGGCCCTCAGCCGAGCAGTAGTTTTGAGGCTATTTGACGGATTTCGGTTAGCCTTAATGATAGTGGTATGATTAGCTTCCGCGAGTTCAACATGGTTGGTGTAATCAGACATTTCATTCAGAGTTAGTGGGCCTCTTCTATTTGATTTTCTGCCGGATTTGGTTCTGTTGCAGACGACATCAGACCAAATCCCGGCTTGAGTTCATGCTTGCGGTCCTGTGTCAGTAAGAACCCATTAACATCAGCCAGATCTGTAACAGGATGCTCTACAATTTATGTAACGTTAATCCTGTGTAGAAGTCTGACCATTAGCATTTGTTAGCTTGGCACATTATACTGCTACAGAGTCAATGAATTGCTGACTATTTAATGCAGTGTTGAATCTTCTTCTCAAGCTGTATTGTCCTCCGGTTCAGCAAACGCACTGGATGCCATCCGTCTCTTACCAGGTTCAATTTCCCCCGGTTTAACCGGTCAGTTCAGTTGGTAAAATGTGAATTAAAAGTTAAAACTCTGTTTACAATCGAAGAAGTGAATCCTCACTCTGTTATATTAAATGCTTTTCATTCGTCTGGGAAATGGTATTTTTGACCAGTTATATGGGCACCCTTTAGGAAGTCACAGCACTGTCACAGAGGTGTGGGAGACTCTGAGGATTGACATGTGCATGGGCCAGCAGTGTGTCAATGGGTATGAATGATTCGATAGTCCTGATGGGGCAGGTGGCACCGTGCATGGTAGCCCCTGCTATCAGTGTATGTGTATAGCGTTGGGTGTGAATGGGTGAATGATGACATAAAGTGTTAAAGCACTTGAGTGGTCGGAAGACTAGAAAAGCGCTGTACAAGTATAAGTCTATTTACCATGTGTGCACGTTTTTTTTAATAATGCCATACAAAACAAAATTTACACAGGAATATCAACAACATAGATGACAGATGATATTAACACCCGAGTTTTTGTCTAGCTTGCAAACAGGCACTGCTTGTGCACTGAACAACCCTACAGCAACACAATACACATCTTAAGCAGTATTATGCATGCCGATAGCATTATGCCAACCTGATCAATTAGAACATTGATATTGGTTTGAAAACTGCAAAACAACCCATTTCTTCTCAGTTTTATGGTTAAATTACTTGAATCCAGAGTCATAACCTGGAAACACAGATAGTAGTTTTTTAACCATGAATCAGGTCTGGAAACTGCAAAACCACACCCGGTTTTATCATTCGCTGCACTCTACATAGATAGAAGATATATCTATAGTGTGTGTGCGTGCACATCTGAGGGAGACAAATAGAGGTGATGCATAACATTTTCTAATAGTTTTTCTCTCTCTCTCTTTCCTCCAGTTGTCCATCCTGTCAGAACTCTCCCACTGCCATAGCAGTGACAAGACAGGCCTTCTATTCCCAGCCCAACCCGGAACAGATCATTTCCAACTTAAACTCTCTCCTCCACCTTTATTGGAAGAGTGATACCATGACTGGTTGTGAATTGATGTTTTCTTCATCTTTCCAGACTTGAGTCAAGTGGGATTGGTTTAGTCAGGAGATATTCTTCTGATGTCCCTTGCATTCTACATCCGTGTGGGTTGTAGTTTTCCATTGTTCTTTTGTTAGGAGACAAAATTATATTGTATAACGTCTTTCCAAAATGTTTTATTTCAAAACAAATGTCACTAATAATTCTGCTGAATGTAGCTTTAATTTTATCCATTGTTTATGTACTACAGCTGGCTGAAACGTATTGCTTGGTTTGCTTGTTGGTGCTGGGAGGTCAAAAAGTGAATCCTAACATAACTGTTAAGAATGTTGTGACATTTATTTTGGTGAGGGAAATGATACTGACTGTTTGAACCAGTAAAAAAAAAAAAAAGAAAAGATACTGACTTCTCTTATTTCACAACGTTAATATAAAACACACTTCTTTCGTGTGAAATGCGATGACATCACATTTACCTTGTCAGCTTCGTATTGGTAAATTACCTTTGTTGACTGAATCCAAAAGTGCACTAATTTTGATGGTGAATGCAGCAGAATTTAAATTTTGTTATTGGATGTTTCTTAATGTTGTGGTTAATTGCTCTTCTTCAGTCCACTGGCATGTACCTTTTGACTTTTTAGCAAAGAACCAGATATTTTATGACACAGTTGTTCATCTTAAGAACTGATGATTTAGAGTTTAATGTTCACATGATTCAGCGTTTCAACAGCCACTATGAGATCATGAACGGTACCTTAACTTCCTGGATGCCTGTCAAAAGTCCTCCCTTTTCAGTCTCTATGGCTGTGGAGTAGTCGAGGCAGATGATGAGTGGCCCTGAGTCCGTGGAGCAGTCGAGGCAGAAGATGAGGGGCCCTGAGTCCGCGAAGCAATAGAGGCAGAAGATGAAGGGCCCTGAGCCTGAACCAGTAGAGGCAGAAGATGAGGGGCCCTGAGCCCGTGGAAGTTTAATCAACTTCCCAGAACCAACACTTGAATAAACTTTATCATAATCATTAGGTTCTAACAATTGTAAAATGCATAAATGGACCAATCCGGATTTATTTTACTTGCTCCATTGAAGTGAAAGAGACCGAGAACGAGGCTGGACCGAGGCCTTGAAGGCGTGGTTAAAGGAAACCCTTGCTTTATGGGCCCCATGGATGTGGAAGATCGCCGGAAGAACCGTATCATTTAATACTCGGAAGTCTTTCATAGTAATGAATGGGGCCCTGCCTCCTACACTGCATCCAGTGATCTTTATACATCCATGTGTTACACTGGTTACAGAAAATGTGGGCTAGTGGCCAGCAGCAGCACTGGGTCCCTGCTCCCCACCGCCACAGCCGGGAGGAGAGCAGACGGCTGCTTGAGAGCTAGGAGCTGGCCCTTTGTCTCCTCCCAGCGAAGAGGTCTCCCAGGGGTCGGGAGTGAGACGGATGGACCGTGGGGTATAATTCTTGTCTAATTTGTGCTCTGTTAAATATTAAATTCATAATATTCAGTGCCCCATAACACTATTTCCCATGCTACTGTAGCTTTTGTGTTTGTCAAGGATTTCGTCGTACGTAAGTGGGCGTGGTTTCATCTCTCAGCTCCTGTGGGGAGTTGAATGGGTCAAACAAACACAAGAGGCTGCTTTTCATGTTTCGTGCAAAACTTTAAGTAAACATTGACCTTTTGTTTAGTTGCTGACCTCGGGAGTCGTTAGTCAGTCAAGTTAACATCAACCACGCTAAACCTAATTAAGTTGTTCCAGTGAAGACGAAAGTTTATTTTGAAAAGACACTATACATTTAGTGAGTGGAAACTGACACACCTTACCTGATTAAACTGGCAGTAAACTGGCACTAGAGGGTAGAGCCTCATAGTTTGAAACTTAGAGACACTGAGAAAGCATTGGTATTTGACGAGTTAGGAGTGAGAATGTGTTGGTTTCTTGCACATAACCCATCTTAAAAACTGAAAGCAGCCATTTCCACCATACTCTGCCTTCTTTTTCATGAAGTTTCAACACTCTTTCAGCACTATTTGTACTAAAAGAAGAGACAACCGTCATCTTAACTTCATGCATGACATTAGCAGTCAATGACTAGATTAGACTCTATGGCTTTTCTTGCAATTTACTTAAATTGAATTGTAGCTTTTAATATTTCCCCCATCCCCTGAAATCGGTCAGCTAATCATTCTGTCTCTTTTGGGAAAATCCAAAAAATGTAGTTCCTTTTTTCCACCTCGACCTGTACGCTCTAAGCAGTGAGTTGTTAAAAGTGGTCTGAAAAGTCCAGGGCTGTTTGTAAACATTTGGGGCTGTAGCTTCGTACACGCAGTCTTGTGATACACACTTGTGTCAGTCCAAAAGGCAGGTCGGTCCACCTGGAAAGTGCCCGGTATGTCAGATGGCCAGTTCAGCCCCGAGTTCAATTGTCAGACCTCCCTACCCTTCACCATCTTTAAGTTACTATCTAAATGAATGCTGGGATTATTTATTTTTTATAGCTACATGGTCATGTTTCTTGTGGGAAATTGAAATAAAACAGTTCTACTAAATTAGAACAATTGCACAATTTTTTGATTACCAAATTTTCCTTTTGGTTATTTATTGGACAAATATTTAAGTTTTTTTTATTTTCTATTCTTATGTTATAATTTCAAGTTTCAAGTCTTTATTTGTCAACAGCAACAATTATAGTGGAGCCAATACATTGCCAGATATACTATGGCCCAGTTAATCCTATGTTCACCAAAATGGGCCCACATCTTATGTTGGATATTAATACCTTCTCTACTTTATTAAAATACCTTAATCGAAAGTTAATCGAAATCAATACCAAGGTGTATGATTATATATGAAGAGGAACAAAGGGAAGTAGTATCTTAAAGAAGCAACACATTAGAATACATCGTGGCTCCGGTAGGGGCGCTAGAGCATCGGTAAGCTGTTTACAAGCCGCCAATGAATCCAAAGAGTAAGTAGAAGAAGTTAAACGTGTATCAGCTGAGCTGGCTGATGTGAAAACTATATTTCATTGTACGTGATTTTAGAGCACAACTATAGATTATTGGGATGGAGAATGACATTCTTGTCTCTCTTGAAGATTTAGGGTAAGTTATAAAATACTAAATGTGTCTGCCGCTGTATGAATATGATGTGCGAAAGCTGCCATTCCATTGACCAGCCTTGCCAGTCTTTCTTATTTTAGCCCATTTACGTGACAGGGTAGCTTGCTTTAGCAAAACGGCTAACGTTGACATGCTGTTGTAGCTAACGCTTAGTCTGACGGTTTGTCATCGCTAATGAACGTGCAGTGAACCGTGGCCATCTCTGCGTACGTCCCGGGTATTAATAGACCCACACACTGGTTTTACATGTGCCTGAAGCTGCGTCAGCACAAGCTGTTCCCGTCATGATTGATATGAGGATAGCTCCAACACATTCGTTTCTGTTAACCAGTTCTAGCCCCACTCTCTCTAAAAATACATGATTTATTGTGATTAACCATGTATTATGATTACGCTCAGATATCTTGTAGCCTCTCACAGGTCAGTAAAGGTCTCGAGACAAATCTGTCTCTGCGCAAGTAGGTTTCCCAATAACAGTTAACGACTTGACTAAAGAACCAGTTTTTAAAATGTGGTTTGACTTTAAATGCACTTTGAAAGCGACGTCTCATTGATTAAGTCTTCAGTATGGCTTATCATTATGCTGTACCGATGAGGGAAGCAAATAGGTGTGCCTGTCGGATTACATATGGCTTGATGTGTGTTTTACATGAGCTGTGTGTGTGTTACTGTAGGTACCAAGGCCCTCTGTTGGAGGAAGGAGCTCTGGATCCTGCTGTGAGCAAAGGAGCAGCTTCACCTGAGTTTACTAAGCTTTGTGCATGGATCGTCTCTGAGCTTCGACTCTACTGCAGGCTGGAGGAGAATGTCCATGCCACCAACTGTGAGCCACATTCTATCACCATGAAGTCAAGCTGCTGCTGTATCCCAATTAATAGAACATATTTAATAGTGACAGAAGAGTTGCCCATCAAATGGTTCTACGAGTGTCCATTCATTTTCTTGCTAGCTGAAGGTTGATAATAAAGGCAAAGAAATGAAAAATTTAATATATACACATGTTAAATGACATTATGGTTTTATGGGCAATTAAGCAAGTCATGTTGGATTACTAAGATGTTAACCAATGGTAGAAGTTGCAAATTCAGTAGTAAAGATTCTGTTTGAGGTCTGCCAAGTTGCTGCTAACACATCTATTGTAACTATATTTGAGATTTAACCTGACTATTTTTCTGCCTTGTGACATCATGTTTGGTGTGTGTGTGTGTGTGTGTGTGTGTGTGTGTGTGTGTGTGTGTGTGTCCCCTTCTACCCCTCCCAGGTCCGAGCGAGGCAGAGGCCTTCCAGCTGGAGATGAGCGGCCTGCTGTCAGAGCTCGCCTGTCCTTACTCTGTCCTCACCAGCGGAGACATCACCCAGAGGCTCCTCAACAGGACCGACTGTCTGCTGCTCCTCAGTATGATAACAGCACTTTGCAGCTTTTCAATTCAAAATTATTTTTATTGAAGAAAAAGCATTGGTCCAATAACCCGTGAGGTTAAAGACTTTTGCACTTTAAGTGGACTGTTGTAGGACACCCACCTGTGATTAAGTGTTGCATAGTCATACAGTGTTTCCTCTAGGTTGACTGCTAACTCGATTACACCACACCATATTCCATTCCCAAATTTAACACTTTTTAAAGTTACTTTAAATATTCATGAGTTACTTTTCCAAATAGTTATTGTTATTTTACAAAATCCACAGGAACCCCTCTTCACATCGGCATAAATTAGATCCACTGCACAGAAAGAAAAACATGACTTCTAAGGCTGTTTCTCCTGTTTCTCCTGTTACATCCGTTATTTACCTCTTACAAAGCCAGGGAAATTATGACTGGTGTGTTAACTGCATAACAAATGAATCCAAGCACACAAGGCCTCCTTAAGGCCTTTAAACATTGGGTCTTTTTTTTGTGTGATTTAACTTGCTCATTAATATATTTTTTCGAACTGTTGTTTTTGTCATGAGTGCGACGAAAAAGTGACGTTGAGGTTTCTGAGCTTTCGCACTACTAATAAAGGCATCAATCAACAACGCTGTGCCAAAACGATAAACTATATCTTACCTTTTAACCTTGACAAAGGCAACACATACGAGATCCACTCCTTCCATTTTACAACAAAAGCCCTAGACATATACACTGCATAACTGTTTACCAAAGGGAGCTCACATTCACTCACGCATGTTTCTAAAGGCAAACTTAATACGACAACTTACACTAGCCTAGTTCCGCATTTTCGTGTCATTTATTCCTCATGCCCCCAATGTGTAAAGGCCTTAAGGCTGGAGAAATACTTGTTTTAACCATGTGTCACATTCATTTCTGAGGACGTACACCAACACGGCAAACGGGGAAACACTGGTATATTGTAAATCTTTTTGCTGCATGGGGTATTGACATTGCACCCAGCGACCGCTAGATAGCAGCGGAAGAAGCCTGTTTCAAGGCTCTCACACAGGTGCAAAAATAATAGAATACAAGTGCAATTATTCATAATATGGTAAACATCCACTCTACTAATGTGTCAAAATTAGTAAAAAACTAATTTTCTTCATTTAAAGGCCACACAACAGACATATTCAAGCATTTCCCATTTCTTGTATTGTTTGTTTTAATTATTGTATCGTTTCTGTGTCAGTACCAGTATAGGCTGTTTTCGACCCCACACAGCATTTCGCATTCCAGCTGATGAGATTTGTTCACTTTTCACCTGATGCTTTTGGCTTTGCTTTTAATTACTAGGGTTGTGCCAAAATATCGATAAATGTATCGCAATATATTGTGATATTTCATATCGTGACACGTCTATCGCAATGCATATCGTATCGTGAGGTGTTTGCCATAACACAGCCCTATTAATTACTCTTTTGTGTGCACATGATGGCTGCCTTGCGTATCCTGCGTCCGTTTGGTTATGCACATCCTCACACATTCACACTACGCTTCCGCAAGATGCAATACACACTGACTGGGTCAGGGGTCAACAGGCACGTCGGCAGCGACGACCGTAGTGGAAAGTTTTTCTTCACAGTGACAAACATGCTTGACAAAATAGCATCTTTGATGGCGTTTCCTTTATTATCGTTTACATCATGCAAATTCTGAAATTCTATACAGTCTGAGTTCGCTGGTGTGCCCTCTAGTGGAATCCTCCACTATCACTCGTATTATATAGGAAAGCATGTAAACAATTTCGCTCAGGACGCACCCTATTGTATACGTAAACGTGTGTATATCTCATCCTTACTCTCATTCAGCAGGGTGTAATGCAAAGTGTTGGGATGGCCGGATGCTTAATGTTTCACCATAGAATAGACTTTTCTTACAGCACATAGTCTGACTTGTCAAACATAGGTGTAACGACATTAATGATGTTAATAATGGCTGAAGTCGTGCCAGTTCAATCAGTGTATTGTGCCTACTGCCACACCTAAAACTGGACAGACACTGTTTTAATTAATCCTGTACTTTGCTGTACGGATAAATTGATCAGCGGTGCCCACACTGATCGTGGACACTGAGCATGGGCCAACGTTTGGTCAGCTGGTTTTGTCCATTGACAATTGCAAGTATATTTACTTTTGACAGAAAGAGTGAGTGGAAGCAATTCTGCCATGCACGGAAAGTAAGAAGAAAAAGAGAAATATAAGGAGCTGCAGATAGCTCGAATATGCACACAATATGACCTGTTGTAGCCACAACATGTAAAATACTACTCCGGTAATATTGAAGAAAGCAGTGCTATTAATAATATATCTTTTGACAGCAGACAGATGACCTATAAAAAGTGGATTGTCTGTATGCCTTAACAAACAAAGCTTATTTTTCATAACTCTTAATTACATCTGTGGTGAATTTTCTGTTATTTATTTTTGTATTCTTTTGTGCCAAGGCAAGTTCTTCAGCATATTTCAGATGGTTTTAAATTTGACTTTCTGAAACTTAAGTATCCTGTAATTAGAGATTAACCAGTCACATTTTTATCTCAGCATTTTTGGTGTCCGAGTTGGAGGCGTCGAGGATGATCCTGGTTACAAAGCCTGAAAAGAAAGCCCAGGAGGCAGGCACCCCCATGTTCCAGGAGCTGAAGGGGATCTGCATGTCACTGGGCATGTCTAAGCCTCCAGCCAACATCACCATGTTCCAGTTCTTCAGTGGAATTGAGAAGAAGGTGAGTTTGTCTGGTGACACAGGGATATGATGTGCTCTCACAAGAAAAAGCTGAACAAGGTGAAATCTACATTATAAGTTGTCCATTCTTTTAACTCCTGAAAAACACTTGTGTCCTACCACTGAATCAGTGGCGTTTATTCTACCTTCAAGAGCTGCAAACCCATCACATTTATATGCCTATCTCCGTGGCTGGAGGCACTAAGGTTTTCCGGTTGTTTG